ACCCTCTATTAAGCGGACACCCTCTATTAAGCGGACACCCTTTATTAAGCGGACACCCTCTATTAAGCGGACACCCTCTATTAAGCGGACACTTCTACTAAGTGGACACCCTCTATTAAGCGGACACCCTCTATGAAGCGGACATCGTCTATTAAGCGGACACCCTTTATTAAGGGAGTCCACTAGATAGACGTACCACTGTAGTTCTCAGTTTACACTATATACTATACCTCGTGTTCTTTCCACACGAATTAGCGTCACAGTACTTGTTTAGCTGACTGGTAAGACGGCTCTTGAAATCGTAATCCTTCCACTGAAATGGTATTTTTATAAAAACGTCTTAAATACATCGGATCAAAATATGGCTGACCAATTTGAATAACTAGTATTGTTCTGTACTGACTAGCGACTGACTAGCCTCTCATACATGTGAAAACGCTTTCCAAGCGAACACGAGGCTAGCCATTCCCTACTCAATGCAGAACAATAGTTTTTCCAATACTCCATTTTAAAGTTCCGTTCGAGTGACCACGAATAATAGTTGCGAGTGGAGGCTGCAGTTTCCGCGCATAGCAAAACTATATTTTTTATCATGCGCAGAAAACTCCAGCTTCGGCTTGGAACGGAACTGTAAAATGGATTATTGGTCGCCATGCATATTTAGATTCGGTGTATATTTAATCTCAAGCCATGCGTTACATGTGAGGGTAACATTTTTTAACTCGAAGACTTTGCACAGAAGACTGTGAACAGGTCTTAAGTGTTAATAACATCTGCGTGATGTTCCTTCAAGTTTTATAAAGCCCTGAAACAACGCGTCTGTGAAAAAGTGAGCGTGTCTTTAAGAGGCAGTAAAGCCGGTGAACCTGGCGATAAACCTTGATATTAAGAGAAACCCAACATACTCTTCTCCATGTGATTTTAAGCCCAGGAATCAAACATGCGAGACCCCAGGGGTGAGAGGAGAGTGCACCATGCTTCTCAAGGCAATATCAGTACAATCTGCCTATACTCACTTCCCTTAGCTTTAATTCCGAAAAGGTGGCTTCAAATACATTGACCCCTAAAGAAATACGTTGTTTAGTAGTGCTATTAAATTTGTTGA